GAGTAAGAAATTTGTACAGCTTGATCTCAAATCAGTATGAAATTTGTGAAGCTTGAGCTCAGATCAGCAAGAAATTTGTCAAGCTTGAGCTCAGATCAGTAAGAAATTTGTCCAGCTTGAGCTCAGATCAGTAAGATATTCGTCCAGCTTGAACTCAGATCAGTAAGAAATTTGACAAGCTTGATTTCAGATCAGTAAGAAATTTGTCGAGCTTGGGCTCAGATCAGTAAGAAATTTGGCCAGCTTGAGCTCAGAACATAAAAAAAATGACCAGCTTGGGCTCAGATCAGTAAGAATTGTGTCCAGCTTGAGCTCAGATGAGTAAGAAATTTGTGAAGCTTGAACTCAAACCAGTAAGAAATTTGTGAAGCTTGAGCTCAGATCAGTAAGAAATTTGTCAAGCTTAAGCTCAGTTCAGTAAGAAATTTGTCCAGCTTGACCTCAGATCAATAAGAAAGGTGTCCAGCTTCAGCTCAGATCAGTAAGAAATGTGTCCAGCATGAGCTCAGATCAGTAAGAAATGTGTCCAGGTGGAGCTCAGATCAGTAAGAAATTTGACAAGCTTAAACTCAGATCAGTAAGAAATTTGTCCAGCTTTAGCTCAGATCAGTAAGAAATTTGTCCATCTTGAACTCAGATAATTAAGAAAATTGTCCAGCTTGAACTCAGATCAGTAAAAAATTTGACAAGCTTGAGTTCAGATCAGTAAGAAATTTGTCGAGCTTGGGCTCAGATCAGTAAGAAATTTGGCCAACTTGAGCTCAGAACATAAAAAAAATTTGACCGGCTTGAGCTCAGATCAGTAAGAATTTTGTACAGCTTGATCTCAAATCAGTATGGAATTTGTGAAGCTTGAGCTCAGATCAGTAAGAAATTTGACAAGCTTGAGTTCAGATCAGTAAGAAATTTGTCGAGCTTGGGCTCAGATCATTAAGAAATTTGGCCAGCTTGAGCTCAGATCAGTAAGAAATGTGTCAAGCTTGAGCTCAGATCAGTAAGAAATTTGACAAGCTTAAACTCAGATCAGTAAGAAATGTGTCCAGCTTTAGCTCAGATCAGTAAGAAATTTGTCCAGCTTGACCTCAGATCAGTAAGAAATCTGTGAAGCTTGAGCTCAGAACAGTAAGAAACATGTCCATCTTGAACTCAGATAATTAAGAAAATTGTCCAGCTTGAACTCAGATCAGTAAGAAATTTGACAAGCTTGAGTTCAGATCAGTAAGAAATTTGTCGAGCTTGGGCTCAGATCAGTAAGAAATTTGTGAAGCTTGAGCTCAGATCAGCAAAAAACTTGTCAAGCTTGAGCTCAGATCAGTAAGAAATTTGTCCAGCTTGAGCTCAGATCAGTAAGAAATTTGTCGAGCTTGACCTCAGATCAGTAAGAAAGGTGTCCAGCTTCAGCTCAGATCAGTAAGAAATGTGTCCAGCATGAGCTCAGATCAGTAAGAAATGTGCCCAGCTTGACCTTAGATTAGCAAGAAATTTGACCAGATTGAGCTCCGGGCAACAAAATGTTGTTCCAGAGCAATGCTCCAATTCTGAACCACTGGTTACAAGTCAAAATTGGGTATTGAAAACGTGTGCTCACGTAACATATGGATGTCCCCTTACTTTAATTAAAGAATTCAAGGTTGTTCATTATTAAATTTACTTTAGGCGTACCAGTTCAGTAGGACGATTATTAGTCTGTATTTCTGTGGCGACCCCTTAGATACATAGTTTAATATTTTCCACAGAAATTTTTAAAAATCTTAAATATTGTATTGTTTTTTTATATTCCCTATTGTATTTTTAGAGTAATATTATTGACCACTATTTTACTTATTTTTAGGATACTAGAAGCACTTGATTTTAAATAAAATAAATATTTAAAGAGGCACACTTGACTTGAGATAGAATCATTGATGAATAGCTTACATTTCTGAACGATAATATTACATCGTTCAAGGATAGTAAAGCTCTCCTGCACATTATTAAATAAAAAGAAAAGTTGATTAATAATCAATATAATTTTTTAACTGATTTATTTAAATAGGAATTTAATGTTTGAAAAGTTATGAAAGAGACTTAGCAGTACCTGGTACTCTTCTTCTCTATCTGATCAACTTCCAGTGGAGCTTATGCCATTCAAAGCTTCTTTCAAATCCCAGTGGAGCTTATGCTATTAAAAATTTCTTTCAAATTCCAGTGGAGCTTATGCCATTAAAAATAACTTTCAAATCCCAGTGGAGCTTATGCCATTAAAATTTCTTTCAAATCCCAGTGGAGCTTATGCCATTAAAAATTTCTTTCAAATCCCAGTGGAGCTTATGCCATTAAAAATTTCTTTCAAATCCCAGTGGAGCTTATGCCATTAAAATTTTCTTTCAAATCCCAGTGGAGCTTATGCCATTAAAAATTTCTTTCAAATCCCAGTGGAGCTTATGCCATTAAAAATGTCTTTCAAATCCCAGTGGAGCTTATGCCATTAAAAATTTCGTTCAAATCCCATGCATTAAAATTTACAGTACACCACTACTACACTATATTACAGTACACTCATTGATAGTACTCTACAATAGATTACAGTAAACTCATTGATAGTACATGACACTAGATATTAAATTTTTTTATTGAGTGTAAGTATGAATTATACTTTTATACTTTTATTTACTGGTATAATAATTTAACTTAAATCTCCTCTAAAATATAAATAGGTGGTGATCTCCTTTTAAAAATAATTTCAAGATGAAAACACCATATTCAAAACACAGAACTTACAACAATTCCGATCACAGGAGCCAGAATGATCAATTCATTGATCCCGGGCTCTCAAAACATAGAACTTACAACAATTCCGATCACAGGAGCCAGAATGATCAATTCATTGATCCCGCGCTCTCAAAACATAGAACTTACAACAATTCCGACCACAGGAGCCAGAATGATCAATTCATTGATCTTGGGACCTCAAAACATAGAACTTTAATCATTTCTGAAATTTATTACTCATAAAAATATTATAAGGTATGATAACACAACTCCTCATTGTTAAGTACGTACGTTTATATTTCTCAGGTAACATACCCACATATGTTGCTTTATGGATTATGCATAACATACAATAATTGAAAGCTGGAATTTTCTCATTTTATTCCAGCTTTTGGCAGAAAGCATCACTAATCAAAGGCCTCCCAGATTTGTATCATAGTACCGGTATTTCAATTATAATAATTATTTTTGCCAGTTGATGGTATTGCTAGATTTCTTTTTGTGTAAATTTTGGGTGGTAAATGCCTGATGGATCAGTTTGATAAATGTTGGGTGGTAAAGTACCTGAAGGATCAGTTTGATAAATGTTGGGTGGTAAAATGCCTGATGGATCAGTTTTATAGAAGTTTGGTGGTAAAGTGCCTGATGGATCAGTTTTAATAATTAAAAGGACAAAATTTCATCCCTAAATACTAAAATTGCAATAACTTTTGTTCTACTCAAAATTTTCTACTTAACATTCAATATGTTTTAAGCTGAAAAAAAGGTTATTGCAATATTCGTGATTTTAAGATCATATAAAATTGGAATCAATGTAAAACAACTGATATGATTTTTTATGGTGATATTAATATAATTATTATTAGAATATAATAACTTAGAAATACATTTTGGACTTAGGTGCCTGGTATTGTACCATAGCCACATAAAATGATGTTTCAACTATCAGAACCAACATAATGAGAATTTTCAAGTTGTAGTCGTAGTGTGCTTACATTAGGAAAGTGCCAATAAAAACAATCAAGTTTCTACATCTAACTCATTTTAAGCCTGTGAACATTCTTTAGAACAAGGCAGGTGGTAAATGATTGTTGGATGTATTATCAAGATTAGCTTACTGTTATTATTGATCAAATGTTTGGTCATTATTCATGATGAAAGGGCCTTCTAGTAGCCTACCAGTATGGTGATGGAAATATACTGGCCTATTATTGTGATTATACTAATACTACTAGTTTACACTAAAGTTAAGAATATCAAACTCATACTAATAGGCCTACTTCTAGTCATGCTGGTACTCAAAGCATAGTATGATTTTTGTAAGAGTGTTCAATTTCTGTTTAGTGTTTTTTGGCTAGGCCTATAAATGCTATATTATTAACAAAGGTTATATTCATATTATATATAAAAATAATAATTTAGGCCTCCCATAATATTAATTGATAGGCTAATGAAATGAAATATACATTACTATTATTATTTCCATTAGGTGTATTTTCGCTATTCCGTATCCCAATTTATTATGACTCAAAATTACGTTATATAGTGTCACTACTATATAATATATACATATATAAGAATGCTATAATATAACTATGATTATATGCTATGTTATTGTATAGGCCTATTATTATTATTTTATGAGTACTAAGACTAGACTATACGCTATATACTGTATTATTTTATTATTATTTATGAGTACTTTGACTATATACTATATTACTGTATCGGCCTATCATTATTATTTATTTAATATATATTATCATTATTAATGGCGCCTATACTATAATTTACCGGTATATAGTTTTATAATGGTAAACTCACCATTTAAATTCTCAGGGCCTGTCGTCTGAGCAATCCAGTCAGGCTTCTGGTCATGAAATTTCAATAATGTCAAGCTTTTAGGTATCAGAAATGGTATTGATCCTTCGAAGGTTTAAGAAACTTTACCATGTTGTGTTTTCAAATATTGTAATCATGGTGCAATTTATTTCAATGGCTGCCATTTTGAAAACGGCTGTATAATGTCACTTGAAAAAAAATGTAATGCTGTGATTGGTTATTGCATCTAATATTTTATCAAATGTTCATCCTCCCTCCCGCCTCCCAAAAAAGAGGCACCACACACAAAATAGAGCGATCATAGAAAATTTGACAAAAAATTTGATAGTGTGAACTGAGAATTAATGTAAGAATGTGATAGTGAAAACTGAAGAGCACCCAGTAGAAGAAGATACTTAAATCAATTGTGGTAAATCGTAAGTACTTTATTTCAACTCAAATGATTTGGCAACATCAAAAATATATTTGTTAAAATACAGAATGCAGAACTAACGCCAACCTCTCCTATAAGCTAGAAACATTCGGCAATTAAAAGTACTCAAAGAAAACTCAATGATCGTGAACAAAATTATTTATCAATTAACAAAACCGTACTACGTGGCATTGGGGTCAAACGTAACACTTGTACTTGTACTGTACATTTCATTCAGATAGAAATTAAATTCTCTCATCATCCTGTCTTCATTTAGGAAAAATACAATTAATACAGGCATCAAGAATTTTATGAGCATAATTTATGGTAATTATTTTCAAAATTTTTCTCACATACTGCCCAATGTAAGATACAATGTGAAACGGTTTTGTTCAATTTAATATTACTAAATATCCGATGAACATTTAAATCTTTAAATATCTATTTTATGTTATTCAATATATATTTTTACTTTCATGTCTATTATTCAATATTAAAATCCTACCGCTACACTCAATTATTTAAGAAATACAGATATTCTGATTTCTATTGATAGTCTGCAGCGATGTCATTTGATAGTCTGCAGTGATGTCTTTTGATAGTCTGCAGTGATGTCCTTTGATAGTCTGCATTGATGTCCTTTGATAGTCTCCAGTTAATTCAACAACTAATGTCAACAGTAAAGCAGATCCAGCAGTTCAGGGGGGGTCACCAATGATAAAATTGATCACAAAAACAGTTTGTATGTTGTCATGGTAACTGGTAAGATCATCTCTCTAGTCAGGATTACTCAAACTGGCAACATAATGGAAAAATTGGTTTGAAAACCACCAAAAATGAAGAGGTCAAAAAAATGTATCAGTTTTACTGTCAATAACAGAAGGATTGTAGGTAATGTTAATATGGCCTAAGATGGATTGTGGGTAATATTAATATGACATTAAATACACATTTAAAATAGTTGCACAGCATGTTACCTCCCATTTTGTGCACCGGTACCTATAGCTCATCAACATAAGGACATAATGGATTGTAAGGGTCAACAAAAAATCATTCCCAAACTGGGCAATATTACCTCCTTAGACCCGCGGGAAATATTACCTCCTTAGACCCGCGGGCAATATTACCTCCTTAGACCCACGGAAAATATTACCTCCTTAGACCCGCGGACCATCCAAGGAGGCCATTCTAGGCACTATTACCTCCTTAGACCCGCGGACCATCCAAGGAGGCCATTCTAGGCAATATTACCTCCTTAGACCCGCGGACCATCCAAGGAGGCCATTCTAGGCAATGCCTGAGAGAAAAGATATGCAGTTGTTCTAATGTCTCAACAAATTTTAGACAATGACTGAGATAAGAAATATGCAGTTGTTCTAATGTCACAACAAATTTCATACAAAGAAATGCTTGCATATTAATCATCCAAAGGTACCGGTAGTTTTTGCACAAAAATGAGATGATGAATAAACATTTGCAGGATAGAAAGGTCATCAAATGTTACATATTAATTACCGTACTCGAATATCAAGATTTCCGGGCAACTTAAAGATGTAGTTTTGTCACTCAGGTAAAAGAAACAAAAATGTGGTGGGATGGCCATTCTATATCTAAGGTGGCTTTGGCCTCAACAACAAAAATGATCTCCATCTACGATTGGTTGACAATTCTTCAGTGAAGGATTCGTTTTCTGAAATGCATGCTATGATAGAAATACATCGAGAGTTATTTTCATTTATAATTCTTCCTTGGCTAGTTTTAAAGCCGGTTTCTGACAGATGTGTTTAAAGTCACAATGATCTATCTGCTGATGGAAGCGTTCTCTGACCACTTTGTAAGGACAGTGCAAAGCCTCACAACCCGGAATCTGAAGAGGTTTTTCATTGACGAACAGCTTGAGGTAGTAATCGGCTTCTTCTATTTCCTCATCCTCTCCAAGCTCCTCCGGCACACACTCATACAGTATGAACATGAGATTGGCAGAAAATGGTAAAATCTCACTGGTACGAAACTTATAATCTTTTTGCGTATTATGATTTTCAGCCGTTAATGGTGTTGGATCCTTAAACAAATCAAGGCCACAGTAGAGCGGACCTAAAGTCTCAGCATGACCAAAGGCAAATTGGCCGACAATATATCTGAAAGAATTCAGACAAATAATTGTTGTAGAATACATATTTACTGAATTGATCAATTTATTTTTCACTTTTCAAAATAATAAACAGGACATTTTCACAAGTATAATTCCTAAACAATCCAGAGATTTTACACTTACACTTCCAACATTCATGCTGAACAAGCCAGAGATTAGAAGATAATTACCATCTCTTACACTTCCACTTCCAACTGTTTCTTGTCAAAAGAAATGTTAGTCTATACTGATGTGTCTGTCTTTAAAATGAAATTAGTTTAAAGTTTATTTGGATTATTTTGCCTTGAAACTTTCACTTTAATACTATAAGACATTTAGAACAATGACAAATGGGGAAAAAGCCATATCTTCATTTACCCATTTGTTTCATCTTCACTGTCTCCATTCTCAATTTCAGTTATAACTTCATCCATGGTCAGAAAAATCTCAGCTATCAAAGGGCAGCTTTGATCACAAGTAATGTTGTAGCCGTAACTATTCTTATAATAGTGCTAAAACAGAGAAAAGTCAACGATTAGCCAAATACATGTAACATAAAGTAATAAAGACCAACAATTTAAATGCCACTCATCAGATTGATTTATTAAAGAACCGATTTAATATTAAAATTACAATATTTTTAAAAGTTGAACTTTTTCTGGGCTGTGACCACTTATCGATTGGGCATTGGCCAAAAATAATGCTGTTAAGTTGAAGACAGTCCAATAATGAGATTTCTTAGGAATCAGATGGAGAAAACAACAAGTTTTACGTTAATAAAATAACAACTGAAAAAAGATGTTTCCGTTCAATCTGACACTGAAATAATCATGATTACACTGATCAATGATTTATACAGTATAGATCAAATATAATTTAATTATAACATGTACTTTCAATCTTTGAAATCATGTTACCTTTAGATCACCCAAGTACTCCAGTACCTCCATGTCCTTCTCATCCAGCAGTGAACACCAGGGCGAGTGTTTGTACACTGCAGTTTCATAACCACACACCAGATAGATTAGCCGAACGTTAGCTAAAAACAAAGCATAACACATGAAAGTTCTACAACAAACTGTCACAAACATTTGTTAAAAACTACATGTGATTTTTTCATTTAGTAGTTGTTTAAGTACATGTGTGTATCGCTGGGGAAGAGGTCTCAACAGAATGTCTATATAAATCATGTGTGTATCGCTGGGGAAGAGGTCTCAGCAGAATGTCTATATAAATCATGTGTGTATCGCTGGGGAAGAGGTCTCAGCAGAATGTCTATATAAATCATGTGTGTATGGATGGGGAAGGAGTCTCAGCAGAATGTCTATATAAATCATGTGTGTATGGATGGGGAAGGAGTCTCAGCAGAATGTCTATATAAATCATGTGTGTATGGATGGGGAAGAGGTCTCAGCAGAATGTCTATATAAATCATGTGTGTATGGATGGGGAAGAGTTTTCAGCATAATGTCTATATAAATCATGTGTGTACGGATAGGGAAGAGGTCTCAGCATGTCTATATAAATCATGTGTGTATGGATGGGGAAGAGATCTCAGGAGAATGTCTATAAAATTATGTGTGTATGGATGGGGAAGAGGTCTCAGCAGAATTTCTCTATAAATTTATGCAAAAAATCTGCACTAACTATCCTGATATTAAGACAGACCATAAATAGCCTACAAATTGCTCTAATGTAGGCAACTGTCACCTACAAAATTGTGAAATCCATGATTTCTATGTATTTTTAAAGGGTGGTATACAATTACTTTGTTTAATTATCTTTTCCGTCATAAATATAATGTATATAAGCATGAAAGGGGGTTCCAAGAATGTATGGGTGCAAACGGGGTAGTCAGGTATGATAACTTGACTTGTTATGCTATGGGTGCAAACGGGGTAGTCAGGTATGATAACTTGACTTGTTATGCTATGGATATAATGAATGATTTGATAGTTCAAACACCTTAAAAAACACCCTGTAGCAACACCTCCCTACAAAAATAATGACAAAGAGACTTTATCTTACAATGTAGAGGCTTACAAAATCACCATTTTTCATGCAAAATAAGTTTATTGAGACAGCAAACACTGATTTCCAAAACATAGGTTAACTGAACTGTCCTCGCCTTCTTAAAAATCATTATCATTTGAACTGCCTATTATTATTATTATTATCATTAGTGGTGGTTTTATATTGCGCAGTACCCCAGGCTAGGGCTGGACTCACCATGCTGTACATACAATTTAACAAACATAATCAAAATTAACATACATTAATTAAATAAAACAAATATATTCCACACATTCAAGAACATGTCAAGCCGTGGACGGCTACCCGTCAGCATCATTTATCAGGGGGGGGGGAGAATCAGTCAGGATAGTAAAGTTTAAAGAGATGTGTTTTGAGTGCAGTTTTGAAGGCTGTGATGGTCGGTATATTGCAAATGAGTAGTAGAAGAGAATTACATTGTATGGGGCACAGAAAGAGAATGATCGTTCACCATTTGTTTTTGTGCGAGTCTTGGGGACAGAAAGAATATGCGTCTGCAGAGGAGCAAAGCTGTCGGAGTGGTGAATAGACAGAGAGAAGTTCACTTAGATAGGAAGGGGAGGAATTCGAGAAAAAGTTGTGGCATAGAACAGAGTTTTTAGTCAATCTGTGCTTGTACAGGAAGCCAATGAAGTGAATGAAGTAGTGGTGTGACGTAATCACATTTTTTTGCCTTTAGAATCAGCTGAGTTGTGAAACTTTCGTAATTTTTTTAAGAAGTGTTTTGATGAACCTGATAGAAAAGAGTTACAATAGTCAAGACAAGAGAGAACTAGAGCTTCTGTTGCGCTAATTGTGAGGTAGTGGTGGATGGAGCTGATCTGAGGAATAGCGGTGTATGCAGAGTGACAAATGTGAGAGATATGATTATCGAGAGATATAATAATAATAATAATAATAATAAGAGGTCTTAAGATATGTTGTAAGACAGAATATAACTATGGCATGGAGAAATGGAGTATAACACGAGAAAACAATTCTGACCCTTGTGCCACAATCTATGACTTTAGGGATGCTTCTTGCCGCTTCAATGCAATTTAAAATAATTTCAATTAAACAATTTTCAACATCACAACTTTGGGCCTCTTAATTATCAGAGCTTCAATAAATTACTGATGCCATATACCATTGATGAATACTGTACATAGTAAGATACCTTCCGTGTATTGGGTAAGAATATACTGTGTTCTATGCAATAACTTCTTTAACACAACTCGGGAGTGTTTGATTATCTGAAAAATAGGTCATCCAAAATACCCCCCAGGTCCCATCAAGTTTGGATAATCGATACTCTACCGCAGGAGTTAGAGAATTTTTTAGCTATTGCCCCAAAATTCACATTTACAATGACATTCTCCCCTGGATATATAGTATTTAAATTCAAATTGCTTTATTGAATCCATTTATTTACATGGATAATAGAATTATAAATATAAAAATTATAAAATAAATGCCATGAAACAACTATGACTCCCTGGGGTATTTCCATGCGTTTACCAATCTTTTTCAGACACAAAACTAAAACAAGGCCACTGTTAAATTAAGATAAGATAAGATTCTTTTATTGATCCAAATAAATGGAAATGTTTTTTGATCACATCTTCAGCACATAAATAAAACAATTTGAAGACAAGACATTTATAATAAATTATCTCAAACGGCCATTCAGTGAGTTCTCTTAGCCAAATCGGGGACTTTTAGTTCTCAGAGGGAGCACGGCGATAAATTCGTACAGATTGGGGAACAAAGGAATTTTTATATCTTTCAGTCCTCGCCTTGATGGAAAGATTAATATAAGAAATAGACCTCAAGACTTGTATACCGGTACTAATATAAGAGATAAACCCCAAGTTTGTATACTAGCATTAGAGATAGACCTCGAGTCTTGTAAACTAACATAAGAGGTAGACCTCAAGTATTGTATACTATTTAATACTAACATAAGAGATAGACCCTCAAGTATTGTATACTAACATAAGAGATAGACCCTAAGTCTTGTAAACTAACATAAGGGCTCTATTTTTTCTGGCTATCTGCTTGAAAAACCCATTATATTCAGTATCGATTGAAATCGCTTTTGATTTATCCTATTGATGTACTATTAAAGACACATTTTCAAAAGAGTAGAAAAGCCTAGTTATGGCTAGTTGGCAAAGGTAGTTTTGAAAAGGCACCAATTTTTTTTCCTGCCCTGAAATGTGCAATTTTGAAATCCTTTTGCCTTTGCAGCTTTTGACATTTCTGACTACAAGATAAAACAAAAGGCGACTAGAGGAAAATGATGTTAATAAGAAAAGATGTGTTGTAATGATAGTTGCGATTCTCTCTTTCACTTTTTAGATGCAGAGTTCCCGAGCCAGAACAAATATTTCTGTCGTAAACATTATTTTATATAATTCTATATAAATTACATATTTGCTCTGGGATCAAATTTTGGTTTCCCCTCCCTTGCTGATAGCAAATAGCCTGAATTGTGCAGGAATGTATAAAATAAATTAATTAATTAAACTTATAAACTAGTCCTACTCAAGTTGACAACTAAAATATTAAATTAATATTAATTACCTACCAGTTGTGAGTATATTTTCCTTGAGGCCTAATTTTTCATGAATTTTATTATTTATTTTATTCACTACTTCACTTCCCATAAATGCATAGTATTCATTGTGTGCAGTTTTATTTCTTTCAACAGTATAAACATATTTTGCACACAAATTAAAAAACCTCATTAGCTCATCATTTACTTCAGTGTCAAATTCATCTTCAATATCATCCTCTCTTTGCAAAACACTAGTAAATCCTTCATAAAACGCTGAAGCACTTTGTTTGGTTCTTTCTTGACTTGATACAATAAACCTAAAGTTATTGAAGTCTTCATCACTAAATAAGGTGGATAACTTTTGGGCAATTCTTTTGCCTAAATTTTCTTGCTCTTCCTCCCCTAGTTGTGAAAGTGCTTTATTATTGTTGGATGGAAATTTATTGACCCAATTGTATAGGTCCGGGTGTACGTCTGGTTCAATTGCACTAATAAGTTTAGCATGAATGTTCGATATTTCATGTACATCTTCCAGCCCTGGGAATCGAGCACCATGGCGAATGACAGCGCTTGTGTGAAGAGCACTACACGACATCCCTTTCAATTCGTTCATATAAAATAATGCATCTGTATTTGTGTCTTTGATATGGGAGGAATGTACCCACTCGTATGGAGTTTTTGTAGAGAAATATTTATATGGTGTAGCGCATGTACAGCAAAAAATGAGATTAACAAAATAAATAGAAAATGTAAACACGTTAAAACGGAAAGTGAGTTTCATGGTGGCAGCCATTATTAAAACAGAACCGCACCAAGAATGACGTCACATAAAAAATGAAGTGGTTGTTACATTGTTTGGTTGTTTTTTTTGTTGTTGTTTTTTAACGCGTAATGCGTAGGCCAATATTTATCTAGCCTAAATCACCAACCCAATAGTAACATTTAAATATATTTAGTAAATGACTGACTTTAAAGCGTTATAATTATAATATAATATATGATATATATAATTAGCCATAGCTCCGACCCTAACATTTAATTTTAATAAAAGTAAAGTAAAAGCTTTGAATTTTTATTTACTTTTAATTTTAAACGTTATGATTAGCCTCGCCTCGATCCATTGGTAACATTTAAATATTCAGTTAAACGTTTGTAAGCTTTAAAGGTTTAGGCGTAGATTGGCGTTGCCCGGGATTGTAATCGGAAGAAAAATTATATCTTGTTAGTGATTTAGCTTAATATCGAAATAATTATAAAAGGTAGGCCTACAAATAAAAACCAAACTAAAAAATTAAACTTTAAACTTTCCTCCTATAAAAAACTCATTTAATAACTTCAACGTTTGTAAATATTTCGTTCCCAGATGGGATCCCTTTGCCTTGTGAGTGGAATCCCGTTACCTAGTTAGTGGGATCCCTTTCCCCAGTGGCAGGGCTGCCACTCACTTTTTTAAAATTTCCCAAGATTTGGTGATCAAATTTCCCAAGATTTCCCAAGATCATAAAATATATTAGAGTTTTTTTTTTTTAAAAGGGGGGTTTTCTATTTAATTAATGTAATAATAGATTGAATTAATGCCCCTAAAAAACATGATACATTAATTGACTGAAATTTCTTGAAAAAGACATTTAAAAAATGTTTATCACATAAAAATACAAAACAATTTGTAAAAATTATTTATAATCCAAAATATCAATACCCACTGGAGTTAGGCTACTAAATATTACCTCCAAATTCTCTGGTAAAAATATCATCTACAATACATGTGTAATAGAAGTCATTTGGAAAAAAAAACTTACAAGGCTAATCAACACAGAAGTCCTTTTACAAAGGCAAAAGGTTCTTCATCAAAAAATGATTTTTATTATTGTAAACTTGTTCATTAGAAGTGGGGTTTGCAAAGCAATTAAGCAAAATTTATTAATAATAATTGTAGTTAAAATGGATTGATATTATGATGAAAACAATAAGTATTTTTATTTTTTCTTGTAAGTTTACAT